AGCTCCACAAGGGAGAAAAAGAAAATAACAATAATGTCCTCCGACTCAAGGGAGGCATTCAAGTTATAATCACGGTGTCGTGGGGGACCTTGCAAACCCTCACGTTCCGATGATTGCGCGCAAGTGGTACGCGAGCACTCGGGCCCATCAGTAAGAAAGATAAGGTAAGATAATAAAATTATGATAAGACATCATAATTAAGCATAATCAGCTCATGCATATTTATTCATGTGTACTTACAGTTATTTTGTGAGATATAGTTCCTACTTGCTGAGCGAAAGCTCAATCAGATATGTTCATGTTGTAGGTAAGAAACCTATCAGCAATTCTTGAAGGGCAATGGCGAGCGGTGGACGAATGGTGGAGATGGGAATGGATACCGCTCACGCAGTTATTTTCCGCAGTAAGTTTAAGAAAAATCATGTATATGTCTATATGATTCAAAAGTTTCAAGTATGTATGTTTAAAAAGTATACGTACATATGTATGTTAAGAAAACCAAGGTTGTAACTAACAACCCTAGTTTTGAGTATTTAAGTTTTAGAACGTTGCAACAGTACATGCAACAAATAAATGAATTTTAAACATGACGATTTAAATGAGTAATTTTAGAAGGACTTTAAGATGTACTTGAATTTAAGATTTCTCCCGAAATCCGTTTTAAAGTCAAATGAGATGGCCGATTGAAATGACTAGTTTTAGAAAAGCTTTTAAAGAGTATTTAAAACAAGAGTTCAAATGCTATTCCATTTGAAGGATATTCCTAAAAGGTTTTATCTTAACTAAAATTAAGAAAAGCTTTAAGAAATTTAGTGATTCACTTATTTGAAATTATTGTTACAAATTATGAAAGTATTCATTCTTATATAAAAAAAAAAAAATGTTCCGCATATTTTAAAAAACTCCAGTAAGTACAAGTTAAAAAGTTAGTAACAGTGGCGGCCTCAAATGAGGGGCGTCTCAATTTCCATTTGGCAGCCAAGTCCAAAAGTTAATATGTTTGTGTGTGATATGATTTAGGATGCATCTACTTGTATCCCAACTATGTACATCTAAATAAATTAGATTTGGTTTAAATTGAACACCATTAAATGCATGAACAAATATTCTTTATTCGAGGGGAAAAAAAAATACATGAACAGTTACGTGCATGTAATAAATGCATAAAAATAATTATCAATAACTTGGAAATCCTGCAATGATACATATCCAATATAATTTATGATGGAGATTCATGTTACAGGCTAAAAACCAAATATCAAATGGGAAATTCATGTTTTATAATTAAAACACATTGATTTATTATTGAGCTTGGCGTCAAACGTAGATTACAAATCAAATCTGTAATTACAGTTTCTGAATATAACCCAGGATGGAGAAGTCAAATGCTTTCATAGAAAGAAACGCTTTTTTTTTTTGTATGGATAAAAACATTAAAAAGAGGAGAAGAAAATACAAAATGGTCATTTTTAGTCTAAAAAATATGAAAACGACCAACTTTTTTTTTTTTTTTTTCTTTTCACTGATTAATCACTCTGAAAGATATTTCTGAAAATAATTTTGTCCAGAGCAAAAAAAAAAAAAAAAAACTCTTTTACTGGTATAGTTGTTTCCGGATTGTAAGAATTCTATCAGATTGGGGGAGATCATACGTACTATAACTGTATAACTCTAATGCAATTCCCATAATCGGCTTAATTTTTTGTTTTTATTTTGATAAAGCCCTTGGACATTTATCTTTTATGCATCGTAAGATTTCTATCAGATTGAGGGAGACACACATATACTATAACAGTATAATCTTAGCGTAGTTCCTGGGTTTAGGGTGCGTTTGGAGTAAGGATCCGTGTCATAGTTTGAATTACGGTTCGTGATTTACTATAATATTTTTTATCACAAAAAAACACACATAAATCGAGAATAATTCTGAATCATAGTTTTGAATCCATGAACCAAACGTAATTTTTTATTTTTATTTTGACAAAGCCTTCCGACTTTTATCTTTTGTTCGCTATTTTACCCTCCTTTATATGCAAAGAGAAAACCCTAAACTTTGACATCAATCAGCAAATAACTTTTATAAACTTTTAATTATCCTTTAATTTGATTTAATAAAATATTGTAGAGCGCTGCTAAATTTATATGATGCAAAACTTAAAAGAAACGTTGATTTACGTGCTCTCTCGCTCGTTATCCAAAATTTCAGTATTCTTTTCCTTAAAAGCTGTCGACATAAAAGCGTAGAAAATCATTTTTCATCTAAATTTTAACCGTAATCATGAATTAGTCGTGATACTCTACAATACTTTGTTAAAATCATAAAATAGAAAAGATATAGAAGGTAATTTCTCAATCATGAAAAGTATTTTTAGGGGGTAAATTAAAAGAAAAAAAATAAAGAAGTAGGATCATAGGGTGCGTTTAAAATTGATTTTTGTTTATTTTTAAAAATGTTTTTGAATACTTTTTGAGGCACAAAAATGAAAATGGTCTTCAAACCGCGTTTGTTTAGCAAATATTTTAAAAATGAAAATGAAAAACAAAAAATAATGAGAACGGTTTTTGTAAAGAAATTAAAAAACGGTTAAAAGTTATTTTCTATTTTCTGTTTTTATTTTTTAATACTTATCAATAATGTTATAATATATTAATTAATAGTTATAACCAAACACAATTTTATTTTTTTATTATACTCAAAATAATCTTTTAAAAAATAAACTAAACACAATTTTAAAATAATTATCAAAACAATCCCATTTTTACTTTTATATTAAAAATAAAATTATTTTAAAGTCGTTTAATAACGGGCCATAATATTCTCATTTTGGCGTGCGGGCACATACACGTGTATCGTATTCACAAAGCGTACGGTAACAGCTGATGGAGACCAGAAGATTCCATCTCTACGCCAAGGCAAGGGGCACTGTACTCCAAACCCACGAAACGAGAATCTGTAATTCCACACCCGAATGAAGGGCATAATGGTAAATCAACTTTCCCTCAACAACAACTCTTACTCCTCTTTAACCGAACCCGACTCTTTCATTTGCTGAAGAACAGAGAAATATATAAAGCCTTATACAAAACAAAACACACAGAAAGGAAAACAAAACACACAGAAAGGAAAACAAATCTCTCGTCAAAAAAAAAAAAAAAGAAAACTTTCTTCTTTGAAAAATCTCAAACCTTTTCTCTTGATTCTCTGCAAGAGGTTTTTTGGATCCGGGTTGTTTGTTGTGCAGTGAAGGAGAATGTGTGGAGGTGCTATAATCTCCGACTTCATCTCGACGCCGCGGTCGTCGCGTCTGACCGCCGACTACCTCTGGCCGGATCTGAAGAAATCCGGCTCCGGCAAGCGCTTCTCCAAGCCTGTGAGATCGGTGATCGTCGACATCGACGATGACTTCGAGGCTGATTTCCAGGGTTTCAAGGATGACTCCGACGTCGACGACGACGACGAAGTTATAGATGTCAAGCCTTTCGCTTTCTCTGCTCGCAAGCCCACCTCCTCTCGTGGTAACCGCTCTCTTACCTTTTTATTTTTATTTTATTTTTCTTTGTTTAGAAATGATTTTATTATTATCAGTTTAATTTTTTGTTCGATATATATGATAGATTTTTAGCAATTGATTCTGCTAATGACTCCACAGAAATGGTTTTTTATTTTATTCTAATTTTATTTTTTCCTTGTTCAGAAATTTTTTCTTTGAATATATTTTGTGTTTGATATAAGATTAGGTTTTTTAGTATTTGATTCTGCTAATGACTCCACAGAAATGGTTCTTGTTTTTTGTTTTTTTTAATTCGAAGGCTTTTTTCGCTTTCCTGCCTTTCTTCCTCTTAGGTTGAGTACCTTTTTTTTTGGGTTTAAAAATTGGATTTATGGTTTTATTGTTAATATTTCAATTATTCTCTTGTTGTATGTATGTATGTATATATATATATATATATATATATATTTATTTATCCAATCATATATCTTCGATGATTTTGGGAAAAAAAAATGACGATCACTATTTTTGGGGTCAAATAGGAACTTGTTTCATCGACAATAAGCTAGCAAGCATTTTTTTTCCCTCCCAGTAGAAACAAATATCTAATATTTGTATCATGTTATGGTTGTTGATTCGATCGATACGTTGAAGATGAATTGTATATTTTTATGAATTTTGCTTTATTGGAAAAAAATTTTCCATAAAAACAGAAAAAAGAAAAATCTTTCTGGTAAAAAAATAAAATATTTTGGGTTTCGAGAACTAAAATTCCATTTAAGAAAACGGATCATTGATTTGGTAGATCATGTTTCTTTTTCCAATTATATATTAAATAATTTGCTGAAAAAAAAGAGTGAATTACCTTGGTTAGATAAATCTCTTTTAGCCCCAAAATTGTGTTTTTTGTTTCTTTCTTATTGCTCAAACCTTTTGAAAATATTTGTTCATTTTTTGCTCGAAAGGCTTGCGGAATTGTGTAAGAATTTAAATAGATTTTTTTTTAACCCATGAAATGAAAAACGCTAGAACATCCATTTTCTGTTAGTTCTTTTGCTCGTTTTCTCTTAGATCCTTAAATTTCTGCATGTGCTTGCCTTGTATTTTCAACCTGAATCAAGTGTCCGAGCTGATCCTTTTTTTTTTCACATAAAAAATTTATGGCTTTCTTTTTTAGATTTAGTTTGATGGGGTTATTGATTTTTTCGCCTCCATTTTTTGAGATTTGGATTCTCTTTTGTGTGATGCATTTTCTTATTTATGATTGAAGGCTCAACAACTGTGAAATATACTGAATCTGATGGGCAAGCTGAGAAATCTGCAAAGAGAAAGAGAAAGAACCAGTATAGGGGAATTCGGCAGCGCCCGTGGGGTAAGTGGGCTGCCGAGATCCGCGACCCTAGGAAAGGTGTCCGAGTTTGGCTCGGAACTTTCAACACTGCTGAAGAAGCTGCAAGAGCTTATGATGCTGAGGCACGACGAATCCGTGGTAAGAAAGCCAAGGTGAATTTCCCAGATGAAACTCCGCGTGCTTTGCCTAAACATCCTGTTAAGGAAGGTCCTAAGAGATCACTGCCCAAGGAAAATTCGAACTCCTCCGAGTCGAATTTGAACAATCAAAGTTTCAATTTTGTGAATAACTCTGATCAGGACTACTACAATGCTATGGGTTTTCTGGAAGAGAAACCACTGACTAATCAATATGAGCATGTGGAGACTCTCCCTGCTAAAGCGGGTGCTGGACTCAAATCCAATGCTCCAGCTGCTACTACTCCGATGTATTTCAGTTCTGATCAGGGTAGCAATTCATTCGAGTGTTCTGACTTTGGGCTGGGAGAACATGGCTCAAAGACTCCAGAAATTTCTTCTGTTTTCTCAGCCACTTCAGAAAATGATGACTCGCTATCTCTTGAGGATACTAACCCAACAAAGAAGCTGAAGTCTGACTCAGAGAATGTGGTGCTTCCTGAAGAAAATCATGCAAAGACTCTATCAGAGGAGCTTTCGGCTTTCGAGTCTCAGATGAAGTTCTTGCAGATGCCATATCTTGAGGGAAGCTGGGATGCGTTATTGGACACCTTCCTCGCCGGTGATTCAACTCAGGATGGTGGAAACTCTATCAATCTTTGGAGTTTTGATGACTTCTCCACCATGTCTGGCGAAGCCTTCTAAGCCAATTCCCCAGCTTTCCTAGTTAATGTAAATAAGGCTACATGTTAGTGAGTGTCACCCTCCTGTCAGCTTATGTTCTTTGTTTTACTCTTTAATTCATGACGGAGCTTTTTTATTTTTTATTTTCTATACTGTTTCTTGTTATGGAAATCAATCTTGGTTTGTTGTATTTGGTACTTGCAGGAATTGTTTATCTGCATAAGGAGTACACAAACAGTGGAACATGCACAAGCCTTGTATGGAGAGTGATTCGAGGTAGCTAATATCGGTGTATGGCGAGTATATAGATATTAGGTTTTACTTCTTACCTTGAAGACCTTGAAACTTGCGTTTCCAAATTTTATGTCTGTATCAATTTGACTGTGATCTGTTATATGAATACTAAGACCTGTTAATTGTCATATTTGCTGTTGTCTTTATTCGAGTTTTGTTCTCCTCTTATCTGAGGCCATTGAAAATTTTTTTTGTTGTTGTTTATTTACTTTTTTAATTAAAGAATTCATCTGATAGAAATAGTTTTCAGAAGCTAAATTTTCAGGCTTAACCCATTTCTGTGGGGTTTTAATGGGGGAGAAAAAAAAAAGGAAAAGAAAAAAGTTGCTTAATTTCTTCACATCCACATGATATTGTTCTACAGATTTATTATATTATACATGTATAAATATCATCATCATCTAACGTAGGCTACGCGGCCGGCATGACAGGTCTAATATTTGCATGTAGATTCAGTAGCATTGATTTTGTATTGTTGTGAGTGTGGATGAATCAGCCATGTGAAGGGCCATTGTCGTTTTCCTCCAAGTTGCAGTTATATAAATGCAAGTTCAATGAGGCCGAAATGTTTAGTTTGACTTGGAGGAGGCAGACGGGAAAGGCAAGGAAATGGGCCTCCCCGAATCTTTAGGCACTTGCATGACACTCCAAAATAGAGATCAGGTGGACCTCACCACATTTGTCGGCCACAGAAAGAAGGCTTTGGGGATACCAAAATGAATCTGCTGAAAGTCCAAAAATAATAATTAAAAAAAAAAAAAAGGACAGAAACCTGAGTGGATTGGTCGTGTATAGAACAATACTATAAAACAACGATGGTACCGGGCATAGCTTATTAATATTTTGTGAATCCCGTGATATGTTTTTAGGGTAGTTATATCTCCACCTTCAAAATTCATAGATGTCCCTATTAATTAATACTCATGATTTAAACAATCTATTCTTTTATAGATATAATTTTCATAATACTTATTTAATCCTTTCATACTCCCCACCTATTTAATCTTGATTTGAGTTATAAAATAATATAATCTATTTCAACTTTTAATGTTGTATATATATATATATATATTTTTTTTTTTTAAAATTAATGTAATTCTCTGTTAATTTATTTATCAATTGTCCTTCATTTTACCTCCTCCTCTTCCTTCTTCTTCCTTTTTAATTATTAGAAATACATACTTTAATATTTGTTGGCTATTCAAGAAACATGCTTTTAACTGTTTTTATTTCAATTGAAACCTCTATTGAAGTTTTAAAAAAATTTGGTGGAGAAAAGTTTAGGGTTTACGAAGTTTACCATGAGATGTGTTTTTTTTTTTTTTTTTTTTTTTTTTTTTTTTTTTTTTTTTGAATAAGTAAGCACCGGAACACAGTCCCACGCGAACCTAATGGGGATATGTTTCTTTAATGCTTAGAAAAACAGTTTCCTATTATATATAGTTAATATGAGTGTATGAATAATATTTATATTTATTTATAATTAATGTATATGTTAAGGGTTTAACGTAATTTTATTGTAGGATAAAATTATAATAAATGTAAATTATAAATTTGTGGGGTATTAATGAATTTGGTTAGTGCAAATGTAATTACTCATGTTTTTATAAATGAGATTTATATTTTATTAATGATAGTGCTTAATATCGATAGTTATTTTTTTGGGCCCGTTCATTTCACCGATTTGAGTTTTGCTATCGTAAAAAGCTCTAAAAAATAATCACATCTAACTTTTTGCTACAGTAAAAAGCTCTCACATAAAGTCACATCTAAACTTGAATTAAAAACTCGAATCAACGAACAAAACAAGCCCTTTATGATTGTGCTGGGCGAACTATTGTCCAAACTCCAATGGCTTAGTTTGGTATTATTTTTCGTTCCCAAAATCAGTTTCTACTTATAGTAAAAGCTGTTTTTAGTGTGGTAAATCTCCTCAAAAGTGTTTTTTGAAGAATTTTTAAAGAATCTACAGCTAAAATCAGAATCAATCCAAAAGCAACTTTGGCTTTTTAATTGTGCGGGAATCAATATAATACAATTAATGAAGCTTTCATAATACCCCTAATGAAATTTAAAATTTATAATCTTCCAATCTAAAATTCAGACTCGTAATATAATATAATATAATAGAATAATACATAATATAATATAATGTGATAGTAATATTGTAACAATTAATATCATAATTATATTAATAACTATAATATTATTATAATATCATATTATATGATAAAATAATAATATTATAATTATTTTAATAATATGA